GGAGTGTATTTTTTGGCTGTGACAGACCTTTCTTTGTTTCGTGGATGTTTTGCTGGCTTGTGATGGGGTGTGAACCAACAGTCTGTAGAGTTTTCCATTTGGTGTGGGTGAGTGATAGTCTACTTTGATTTTGGTTAAGGTAGATTATCATTTACAGTGTAATCAGTGAGGGGATTCTGCAGACTGTTGAGGGTTCAGCCTCCTGATGAGTCGGTGAAACTCTGACAAAACAGTTTGTCACAACCCCTCGTTTGTTGTCCTCTTCCCTCTCTCTGCCTACGGTTTACCGGGCAGTTCTGTTTATGACGATATATATATATGAAACGGTTTTCACCTTTGCAGAGGCAGATGCAGATCCCGGGGTTTGATCCCCAGACCGTACCTCACCCATTTACAGTATCGAGTTGCCCTCTGAGTGTTTGAAACCGTGACCTGTGTTTCGTGAGTTGTTGTTTGTCTATCGTAGGACTGTGTGTATGTAGGGATTCGATCTGTAGACCTGTTGAGTAGAGGTCTTAGAGAGTTCCAGAAGTCGTAGCTGTAGATGTCCTGAAGGGTCAAGGTCGTAGCTGCTACAGTCCTGAAAGGTCAAGATCGTAGCTGCTACAGTCCCGAAAGGCCAAGTCCATAGACTTCCGGAAGGTCCGGAAGTGGCCTTTCACAGCTTGCTCACGTTTTAGACTGGGCATGTGGGCAAGTGGGCAAGCGGGCAAGTGGTGGATCAACTGCAGTACGTTCGCAGTACGATGGCGGTAGGTTAGCAGTAGGTCCCCAGGCAGTCCACAGTGCGGTCCAGTCAGTCCCAGTCCAGTCCAGCAAGTACCATGGGGGACTGTGTGTACCATGGGCCGATGGAAAGGGGGCAGACCAACGAGTTACAAGAGTATAAATCAAGAGGCAGCGCACAACTATTCATTCATTCCTGCGGAAGCCATGCGGAAGCGCTGCCACGGTGACCTGTGCGAGGTGGTCTGCAGAGGAGCCTGAAGTGGAAGTGGGCTAGGAGTTAGCGCAGCCATAGCTGCTTGTAGGTTAGTGGTGGCCATAGCTGCCATAACTTAGTGTTAGGTGTGTGTGTGTGTGTGTACAGTGTGTACGTGGGGTATCCAGGGTGATCCGGAGTTGGAATGTGAGGCGAACAGTGGTGTTGGACACAGTGACAAGAGTTGCGATGTGTGGGTGCCGATGCACCATAGCCTGTTGAAGCGAGCTTACATCTGAACTGTGTCTTGGCTTCCATATCTTCGAGCTTTGAGTTGGGCGCTATGCGTCAGTGTGATTCACCATCTGTTTGAATGCATGTTAAGTGACGAAGTATGCGAGTCTGATTGCATATATATAACAGTTTGTCACAGCCCCTCGTTTGTTGTCCTCTTCTCTCTCTCTGCCTACGGTTTACCGGGCAGTTCTGTTTGTGACGATATATATATAATATAATATGTATAATATGTATATATTTGACGATATATATATATAAATAATATAATATGTATATATATATAATATATATACATGTTATATTATGTATATATACAGGGTCACCAGCCCGTACGTACGGAGGTCCCCGGGCAGACCTCCTTACGTACGGGCATTCGGGGTCCCGTACGGGGTCCGAACCCGACGGCGTTCGGCCCCCGCCAAAAATTATTTCGGGGCCTAAAAATAATTGTTTTTTTCTGAATTTTTTTTGTGAGTTCTCTATGACGTGAGGTACATGCCTGTAAATTTTCAAGTCATTTGGCTAAGCGAATTTTTTTTTTTTTTTTTTTTTTTGGGTCCGCGTTCGGCCCGAACGGCCAAACGCATTCCCAAGGGGTCCCATGCGTTCGGGCGTTCGGGTTCGGGCGTTCGGCCGGTCCCGAACGCTGGTTACCCTGTATATATACATATTATATATATATAATATAATATGTATTAATAGTTTTTTTCTTTGATTGGATCCCGTTCTCTTTCTCTTGCCTCTGTGAGGTCTAGTTTCCGCCTTTTCTTTACCTCTTTGCCTTTTGGCTGCGTGCAACTGGGTCCTTGGGACAAACGGGGATGGGGACAGCCAGCGCTCAACCTGTCATCCACGTGGCTGGCCTTGTACGTAAGATGTGATGAACAGGTGGGGATTTCCTTCCTTACTTCTTTTCCTTCCCTTGTTTTGCTTTTTTCCGCCTTCGCGCTCTGATTCGTAGTGTGACAAAATAATATATATATATATATTTGACGATATATAAGAGTTGAGGCCGCCCTCGCCACTGCCATCAACGCAGGAGCTGGACATACCAAGAGAGACGCCATTCCGAAGTTTAGCGACTCATCTTGATGTATCACAATGGGAGGCCTCACGGCTGGGAGACGGCTCAGTTGAGCCGGCGTGCTACGTGCCGTTGGAGGAGCCCCTCGACCCCGAGATAGAGACAGAAACGCGCGACCGAGAGGAGCCACAGGATCCTGAGATGGCAGCCGAGCGGCCGGATCCGGTACGACCCAAGGTTGGAGAGGTGATCACGGTCGGAGACAATACCCCTCCATGTTCCCCTGTTCCAGGGCCAGCACAGCGTTCATGGCCAAAGGGGATTCCCGAGTCGGGCAGCGAGGAGATTCCGGAGTCCCCGCCTGCGGCCACCCTCATGCCTGAGCAGGAGGCAGAGGCAGAGGATCAGGGAGTGTGTGAGGGAGCGGGGATGGAGGCGCCCCCTGACYTGCCATCATCCACGCACGTGACTAGGAGTCCGGTCATCGAGGAGCCCGTTCCAGCGGAGTTACCGCCCGTAGTGCCATGCGCGAGCGAAGGGATGAGGGCCGAGCCAATGGCTCCAGAGGGCCAGGGGCCGCGAGTGAGAGGGACCCCAAGGGAGACCCGCGAGGAGAAGTCCGCCCGGGTGCGAGTCCGTCTGGACGAGATACATGCGAAGCAAGCTGAGATGGAGGCGGCAGGGATAGAACCGACACCGCCAGTCGAGCCCAAGACGAGCGTGCAGAGGATTGATGAGTTGTGGGCTAGGTATGAGAGTCAGAGGGATGCGGCCCGCCAGAGGCCACGAGAGGCAGGACCGACAGGCGAGGGGACGAGTGAGTTGAGGGAGATGGGAGACGTGGGATTCTCTGCGACCAGGATGGCGATTGAGCGCATGGATCGGAGGGTATGCGAGACGGCAGTCACATCTTTCCAATGGTATAATTTACTCAGCAATGAGCTCAGGGTTAAGGAGTTGGAGGTAGAGCACCTGACTGCTCAGCTTGCCGAGGAGAGGGTGAGGAGCCAGGCCAGAGAGGTTGAGTGGGAGAGGAGATTTGGGGAGATGGCGGCCGCTATGGATAGRCTCTCAGCAGCCTGGGAGGCTAGCACGACAGGGCCGGCCGGTGATGACATCCAGGGCCGTGGGATGCAGGCGTCGTCAAGTCAGGGAGTAGCAGTGGAAGTCCCTCGTCAGGCCGAGCCGATGGAGGAGGCACCCTTGGATGCAGTCGAGAAGGAGAGTGGCGCGCAGGAGTCGCTTATGGCTATGTCCACGGAGAGGAGGGGTTCGCGCTTGCATGAGTTGGCGGCAGCCATGGGGATAGGCACTCCACAAGAGGAGCCTCAGGGACTTGACGCTCCAGAGCATGCCCCGAGGTTGGGAGATTTGAGGGCGGAGCTGGGCTCCTGGGCCACGGGGACAGACACAGGAGGGCCTGACTCGCGACGGCAATATATATATATATATATATTTATATATAGTCGTTACTAGGCGGCCATGTTGTGCCTCTAGTGCCAGCGGCGTGTCTGGAGTGT